TTGTTACTCCATAATTAATTAATTGCTTGGTTTGTTTCTCTTGGAGAATCAGAGGGGAGCCAACATCATTCATATGCAGAGAACTTCTAGGTGTGTTTATTAGAGATGGAAAAACATATAAGTCAATATGGAAAATATAAATAACTATTTATAGTACGTGCCCCTGACTGAACAGTGGCTAACACGTACCTGCCCTCATTTTCCTCCTGCTCCAGACAAGCAAGCAGCATCTAGAGAGGTGACTTGTCTTGCCCTCTCCTTCATAGGCTGGGCAAGATCAGCATGTGGGGAGAACGATGCGTACTGGGGATGTTGGCTTATCTAGTGACACTTAGAAAGACAGACCCCAAAATTCATTTTTAGGCACTGCAACTACTAGTTTCCCCTATAATTCTTCTCCCTTCTGTTCCCTTCCCCCAGTCCTCCAGCAGCTGTGTGAAGGGAGCTGTACCAGGTATTGGACAAAGCCTCCAAGAGATAACTGAGCTCTCCTCTCCTGCCGAGGGAAAAACTGTACCATTATATTACTGTTGAAAAGCACACTGCAAGATACATTTTAATTACAGTGTGTTTTGCTGCAGTGTAATTAAAATAAGGGTAAAAAGCTTACGCTTAGTGGAGTAGTGTGTTTTATTATTGTGCTTTTCTATTTCAGATTCACATCATTGCCTTAGAGAGAAAGAAATGAGAATATGAGAGACCATAGCATTCATAGTAACAGTCTGTGGTAATAATTTTTGGTGAAGGCTGCTTATGAGTTTGACTTGAGGTATTATCGACAGCATCTCACACTGGAGGAATATAACATTTCAGCTGTAGTATTGCATGGCACTTCAAGAAGAGCGCAGACGGAGTTAAGCTGACTATGTCTTTTGGTTGGAATGAAAAGCTTTCCACTAATAAATGCAAATTAATGGGGACTTGAATGTTGAAGGAGCATTACATCATTTTTGCTGTTGAAATAACAAACCAAAACTACCGAATCCTCTGAGATTTACATAAGCAAAGTCAAAACAGTTCCAAATATGTGATTGTTGGCTAGCTGCGTTTTGGTTCAGATTTTTTACAACATTTTGGTATGGCAAGTCAAATTGAAATAAATCAACTAAGTGTCAAAAGATAATTCCATGCTCTCAGAAAGTCTCCGAATGACATCTTTTTGTAGAATTCCTTTTTCAAGGTCACTTTTTCATGAGAAAAATATTTTTACTTCTTGCTCTCTCCCTTCCCACTCACATTACAATTTTCCACAGAACAGAAGTTATGGCTCCTGATGAGGTTTCTGTTTGCATATGCAGTGCTGAGGAAGATCAGAGGCTTTCATGCCACCTCATATACTGATGATGATACTAATTTCTTACACATAACTGGTCACACATAAATTTGAGCTTCAGTTTGCAGCAACAGTCACTCAACATCATAAGAGATGGCTTATTTGGAACAGCTAACTCCAGAAAATGCAATGTAGGTAGGTTCAGTGGTTTGCCACTCAAAATTGAAAAATGCAGTATTGCTATTCCTGTCTCTCCCACCCGCCATGTCTGGCTGCTTAATTTTCCAGCTCAGTTATGCTGCTACATTAGTCCCTAAAGCTGTGCTGTAAACCAGATCATTGAAATTTCCACTCTGACTTTTAACAGCGGCAACTTCTCTCCTGTTAGAGAAAGAACGTACCCTTAAGAGAGAAAGTACTTTTTTAAAGTGGATATCTGTTTTCTGTTTTACACCAACCGGTGGTTTTTAACGGAATGTATTGGATTATTTTTATTACAATTATCACTCTGTGCCTCAAATTCTCAGGAGTTTTCACTCCCAGAGTCCATGCCTTGAACTGAGTCAAGAGATCTAGGTCACTGTGGCTGCCTGCTGCTCCCAGGTGTTTTATGTTAAGAAGCAAATATAGCTGAGGGAGAAAGGGTGTTTCACAGCTAAATGCTGTTCACAAGCCTTTGGCCCGATTCCAGAACATAGTTGTGATTGTATTAGAGGTGTTTTAGCCAGATGTCCTGCCATGTGTGTGTTCGAGTTGCAGAAAGATGTAGAATAGCTTTTCTTAGCATTTGTGTGGTTACATGAATTAGCCAAGAGATGCGTGTACTGGCATATAAAAGAGGTAGTAGTATGCTGTCCTCCTTACAGTATCTCAAAATCGTGATGCAGTTAATTCAGGACACATGCCTTCTGTTCCAGCTCTTGCTGGTGTCACTGTGAGGGCAGTCTTGTTGGCTTGGTCCCACAGCTCAAGTCTTCCTTTTACCTGCGGTCGTTGCCAACTTCATTTCTTTCCCAGTGGCAGGGTAGGGGCAGTCCAAGCACCTCAAAAGGGGCCCAGTGATTTAGCTGTAGGGCGCAAGCTAACGGTTTCATAACTTCACTGAAAATGGAGATTTAAATCTGGAAACAGAGAGAGAAAGTTAACTCAGCCCTTCACACTTCCCGGCTAATCAGCCTAGAGCTTGTATAGAAAGAGTTCATTATTTGGAACTCAGTTCAACTCCATGGGTCAGTGGCTTTTGCTTTTCTTATACTTCACATATTCTTTGCAGGTGATTTTAATGGGTAGGCTGCATTAACAGACAATCTAAAAAAGAAAAAAAAAAAAAAAGCTTCAGTATATAGAGATTCTTTCAATGGATCATGAATGGTAAATGTCCAAGTCTAAAGAATAATAGAATTAAATACCATAAAGATTTTATTTCAATAAATGGAATTTAATATAATAAATATTTTAAATTAAGATATTTAATATTTCTAAATATTTTAATATATTCATATGTATTAATTGTTGAATGCATTGTTTCCTCCATAAGCAAAGTAGATAGCCAAATTCATCAAAACAGGACTTTGAATAACCTGATCTAGTGGATGGTATCCCTGCCTGTGGCAGGGGCCTGGAACTAGATGATCTTTAAGGTCTCTTCCAACCCAAACCATTCTATGAATCTGTGACTTAAAAATTTGAAGGAACCTTCCAGTCCAAGCATGGAGCAGCTCCGTGCCTGAGGCACGTTTTAGGATAGGTGTCTAAATATTAATTGCAAAGTTACATATCAGATGTCTGTAAAAAAAATTAGTTCCTTAAATATATCCCTCAGAAGAAACAAATAAGACAGTTTTTCTTAGATTCAAGGCTATTGAGTATTACCGTGGACTGTTCTGATCGATGTGTTTCAGGGTCTTCTGTGGAAAAACAGATCGCGTGTTGAATGTTGTTGCCCTACTAAATGTTTTGTGGGTGTAGGTGTCCCCTGTGGATGGGGTGAGAACTGCTGAGCCGGGCTGCGTGTCCTGCTTTGCTCCAGGGAAAGTCTCTTGCTCTGCTGGAGAAACAAACAAGTTCCCGCACGTGTCCTAGCTCTGGGTGGC